ATTTCTGTTCTTTCTAGCTCCCTCCCTCCCTGGCAATGAAGAGAGCTGGTTAAAATTATACAGCCACTAGGTGGCACCAAAACACACTCCCAAGCTAAGTAGCAGCTGAAGGAAGTCTAGAGCCTGAAGTCTCCCCCCACCCCCACACCTGATTCTTCTGATTTTGAGTGTAGAAAAGCAGTTATTATCTTACCTAGACACAACAGATCAATTGTTTCCACACTACTATGTCTCAGGTGAAACCACTCGTTCATTTATTCACTGATGAACTTCCCAGTTTGTATAGGCACAGACTAGTACGGTGTTTCTCAATCTGTGGGTTGTTACCCTTCTGGGGGTTGAACAGCCTTTCACAGGGGTCACCTAAGGTCATCAGAAAACACAGATGCTTACAATTCACAACAGTAGCAAAATTACGGCTATGAAGTATCAATGAAATAACCGTACGGTTAGGGGTCCCCACAGCATGAGGAACCGTATTAAGCAGTCCCAGCATTAGGAAGGTTGAGAACCACTGGTCTAGGGAATCCAATGGATAAATAAACCTCGCCTTGAGATCCTCAACTTGAGAGGGCACCAGATGGCTCGCTGGCAAGGACGCACTATTGAGTACTTGCAACACACCCATTTACATCCCTCTAGTGCTTCCTATGGCCTGACTATGACTGTAGAAGCTGAAGGAGGTGAGAAAACATCTTAACACTCTCCCTGGTATGCCAGCACAGGCCCAAACCCATGACAGGTAAGTGGCAGGGAGCGCTGGCCCCAGGCTATATAGTCCGGAGTCCTTCCCAGGAAGCAAGTGCTGCTGTCTGTCAACTGGCCACCAGAGGGCAGCAAAGAGCTGTCAGCGGAACCGGCGCCTTGGAAATGGACCTGTGAGCAGGGCCACAAGGCAAGATTGCTTTGCTCTCAAGGACAAGTTATGTATGCTTGGACGCTTCTAGGCTCATATTCAAAGTCTGTCCTTGGGGCCCCTCTGTGGTTGTGACACCTCTGTGGTCACAGAGCTGTGATTTTAGAAAGCAGCTGTTTTAATACTTTGTGACTGCTGTCTTAAAATGTATAATTTTAAAATTTATAATGATAATATTAAAATCCTTCTACCAATAATGATAATCATGTTTCAGCTTTATGTCTTGCATGTGGCTGGTCCTCACCAGTAAACTTTCCTTGGGCCTTGTGCTGCCTTTCACGGGAAGTAAGCAGCCACTCATTTCTCAGCTTTGGAGAAATAGGTGTTGGAGTGTCTGTGTCCCACCTGGAAGCCACGCAGGAAATGAAGCAGCTGTGAGCATGTGGTGGGCAGGCAGCAGAGTGTGATCAGAGCAGGGATGTCATGCCCACGTGCTGTGAGTGTGACTAGGCCGCGTGGTTATAGAATCCAGCGAGGGAGAGGGGACTCTGTGTGTCTTCATTGGCTTTGGCAATGACTTTGGCTCAATGCCTTACGATGATGGCTCAGTGGCCTCCTCGCTTTAGTACAACGGACACTGTTGGTTCTCTGCCCAAACTCCTGCTCTCTGTTCCTACACACGGGGATGCTTCCCTTCCAAGCGCCTGGGATGAGCATCTGCAGTGTCTCATGGGATCGGGCACAGGCCTGGAAAGGGCTGTAAGTGGGGGAGAGAGGTTGGTGTAGAGATACCCCCTTCTGAGCTCTCCTGGAGGAACAGCACAGGGTCTGTCCTATGCGTCCTCCTGTTGGTCCCCGGTGGAAATGGTTCAGTTTCCACTAAGCAGCCTCTTTCCATAGTTGCAGGAGCTGGTTCCCATCATGGTCTCTTTCCCTCCCAGTGCTTTTGTAACTACCCCCCCCCCCCCCCCCCCCCCCCCCCCCCCCCCCCCCCCCCCCCCCCCCGCCACACACACACACCCAGTATGACTGCTCTCAGGGTTTACTCTTGGTAATGCTAAGCTGGGCCTGTGAGATTCTATCAGCTGTTGTAAATAGTAGATCCTCTTGGTGAACTGACCCACTGATAGCTATAAACCTCTCTTCCTTTGTACCTCTCTGACTCACAGACTATTAATACAACCACCCAATTTTGCCTTTTGAGCATCTGCATTGTGTAGTGTATCTCTCTCCTACATTAAATGTAAATATAAACATATAAGTGTGTGTGTGTTTACATTGATGCTGCACAGGGTTTTCTTATATACACTGTTGAGGTTCAGGGCAGATCTCTCACTCAGATCTAGCAAGGCCTGAAAAGCAAGGGTTAGGACTTTTGTGGTGGGGGTGGGGCCAGGGCGAGCTTACAAGGCTGAGCTCTCTCTCTCTGGCACCGAGGGAGGAAGTAATCAGGCTTTCTAATCAGCTTCTCTAGATAAGGGGCTGGGTGGAAGGCGACAGGTGAGGCCCCTGAGAGGCTATCTAATACCAAATGGTAAGTCCTAAATATTAATACATGCATACATGTTGCCTTAGTCAGGGTTATGATTACTGTGATGAAACTCCATGACCAAAAGCAAGTTGGGGAGGAATGGGTTTGTTTTGCTTGTGATTTAACAGCACGGTTCATCATCAAAGGAAGTCAGGACAGGAATTCAGACAGGGTTAAAACCTGGAGCCAGGAGCTGAAGTTGAAGGTGGCTGTGGAGGAATGCTGCTACTGGTTTGCTTCTCATGGCTTGTTCAGCTGTAGAATTTCTTATAGACACTAGCCCAGGGGTGGTACCACCCACAACGGGCTGGATCCTCCTTTATCAATAGCTAATTAAGAAAATGTGTTACAGGCCTGCCCATAGCCTGGTCATTTTATTTTATTTTTATTAATTTGTTTTCATTTATTTTACATGCCGACCAGTTTCCCCTTTCTCCTCTCTTCCTGTTCCCTCTCCCTTCCTCTGGTCTATCCCCCCCCCCATCAACTCCTCCTCCCATGGGAGTCAACAAAGCATCTCCTATCACATTGAGGTAGGACCAAGCTCCTCCCGCTGCATCAAGGCTGGGTGAGGCATCCTTGTATGGGGAAAGGTTCCAAAAAGCCAGCTCAGGTGCCAGGGACAGGTCCTGATCCTACTGCTAGGGGCCCTACAAACAGATCAAGCTACACAACTTTTACCCATATTCAGAGGGCCTTGTTTGGTCCCATGCAAGTTCTCTAGCTGTTGGCTCAGAGTCTGTGAGCTCCCATGAGCTCAGGTCAGCTATCTCTGTGGGTTTCCCATCATGATCTTGACCCCCTTGCTCATATAATCCCTCCTCACTCTAATCAGCTGGACTCCTGGAGTTGGCCCAGGGCTTGACTATGGATCTCTGTTATTGGATGAAGGTCCTCTGTTGACAATTAGGGTAGTCACCAATCTGATTACAGAAGAAGGCCAGTTCAGGCTCCCTCTCCACTATGCTAGCAGTCTTAGTTGGGGTTATCCTTGTGAATTCCTGGGAGTTCCCATAGCACCAGGTGTCTCTCTTATCAAGATATCTCTTTAATCAATCTCCCTCTCCTTCCATCTCCAACTCGACCAATCAGATCCCTCATGTTCCCATTCTCCCATCCCCCTCTGACCCCCACCCCAAGTTTACCCAGGAGTGTAGTGGGTATTCATTATGCCCATGACCTTTTGCTATCTGGCCCAATGTCTTCTTGTTTGCCTACATGACTGCTTATAAGGAAGGAGGGCAGTAGTCACTCTTTCTTGTGGGGTGAAGACTGAAGCAGGCAGCGTTAAGTAGTGTGTGATCAGGCCCCAGATTTCCAAGAATGCTGCAACTGGGTTTAACATATCCTGTATTCGTGAGCATATTTCCCCTTTTATATCTTAATAATTCCTTGATACCCCTTAAACAGATGCCTGTGGTTTTTTTTCTTAACAAGTTGTGCCCACTATGGGGCATGAACCCATGATCCTGAGATTAAGAGTCTCATGTTCTATCCACTGAGCTAGCCAGAAAGAGGTGGTGCACATCTTTAATTCCGGCACTCAAGAGGTAAAGCAAGTAGATCTCTGAGTTCAAGACCAGCCTGTTCTACAGAGCAACTTCTAGGACAGCCAGGACTACACAGAGAAACCCTGTCTCATAAAATAAAATAAAATAAACCTCATTATTGTGAGATAAGGCATATGCATTGATAAGAGAAATCCATGTGCATCTATTTAAGGGTTGCTTAATATTTAATAGACAGAGTTGGAGTGTTGCTCTCTACAAGATGGTTGAAGGATTCTCTTCTTTAAGGGAGAAGTGTCTGTCCTCCCCTTGACTTCTGGGTAATCATTGACCCTGCAACCTCAGCTCTCCCATACAGGAAGTCATGGTTTGGGTGGTAATACAGGTTTCGGCGCTGTTAGGATAGAGTGGGGCTCCTTGGAGCACATATGTCCCAGCGAATCCAGAAATCTCTTCTCAGAGTTTTCTTGAGGCCATTTTTGGAATTATACTTTAGGGAACTACTGCAGTGGTCTGCATGTGGATCAGATGTCCTTCCAGATACAGAAAGGTTCAGAATGGTTTAAAAGAGATAGCCAAAAGGGCTATGCTCAGGAAGGGACTGAGGAACTATGACAGAGTCAGGGGACAGATGCAAAGGTGCCACAGTCAACACAGCATCTATCTTCTTCTCCTTAGGCAGGAAGCTAACTCTGGTAGGGACTTACCAAAGGTCCCTAAAATGTACATAAAAAAACTACAGGGGGCTTTCTCAAGACACTAACAAAAGTTATAAAGGGAACAGTGGTGGTCAACTGGTCACTCAGGACAGGCCAGCTCAGGGTCTTCCAAGAATAGAGCATGAAGAACAGTAGATGGTTGTGGTCTCTGGCTGTATCAGGGATTTCCTCGCTAGGGCACCACGGGCTGAGAGCCGTAGCCCTCACCCTAGTGAACTTTAAGTCCCTGTACATATGTTTCTGTCTTATATGTTTACAAACTGAATTCTGGAAAAACGGGTTTTCAAGAAGAAAAAAAAAAACATCTCCTTCATGGAAGTGTCCATCCTGGAAGAAGCAAGAGAGAAGGGGAGAGTGGGCAGAAGGGAGATGTAAGTGCCTTGCCTGCTGGGATTGGGGCAATTGCGGCTCAGCTCACAATTTTCCTAAAAGAGTTTATTTCTGTTTCTTTGTTTGTTGTAATTAAAATCTTGACTACACGATCTACTCTTGTAGTGTGCATCTTGTCTGAATTAATCTCTTTGGGGAACATGAGAACAGAGAGAGCTGCTGAGGTCAAGACTAGAGAACACTGAGACCGTCCCATCACACATATGTATCATCATTCTGTCCATGTTCATTGTTGGATATGTCCAAAGTCCCCATTAGCATCTCAAAGCATGCTGGGATTCAGCACATATACAGGCCAAGCTATTCCCACAGGAGTGGTTTCCCCTGCTGGTGGTGACCTCTCCATCTCTCTGAGGAGGATGGGCTCATCAGTAGTTCAAGACTCAGACACTGATTTGATCCCTGCCCCCCCCCAAAAAAAAAAAACACCATTTCACTTATTTTACAAATTGAAAGCAAACATTTCTTTCCCCTGGTTTCTACCCATCCCGGACACACAGCTCTCCAGCCTCGGTGATGAGGAAACTCTGAATTACAAACACTTGCTGTGGAACAGCTTTGCCCTGGCTGCTAAAAGCTTCCAGGGCTCCACCGCTTCCTCCTCATTTCTCCGTGTCTCCTTTGGATGGCTCCTCCACCTTCATAGCTCGGAGCTCAGTCCAGAAAGCCACTTCCTTGTCTTTCAGCTTCTGGGCTTGCTGAATGGTGTCTCCAATCTGCAGGTACCCTTCCTTCTGGTCGTACTCTGGCCAGTGTGGCAATCCCTCCCCATTGGGGTTCCTGAGAACAGAGTCAAACAGAGGTCCTTAAAGCTGCTGTGTGGTCCTCACATTTCTCTGAGGGTTCTGGGAATTTCTTGGCCAATCACTTCTGAGAGGTCATATATAAGACACTTTCCATCTTGTGGGGCAACCTGTCCATTCTTATGGAGTTCTCCCTGTCGGACACTATGGCTGCTGTTTTGGTCACTCAGACTTTAGAAACTACCCCTTCCCAATTGGAGTCTTCCCAGCACCCCACATCGCCCACCAAGCCTGCTCCATCTTTTTCATCAGCCTCACCCTTTTCGAGCAAAATTGCCCCAAAGCTTCATCATCGTCTTGCTGAGGTTGATCTCTTCCTCCGAGGCACCCTCTGAGGGGAAGAAGACAAGAGTCCTTTCTTGACCATGGTGAAGTTCATGGGCAGTGGTAGCATATGCTGGGAGTGTTTAGAGATACAGTCTGCACTCTTGCCTGCTGACTCGGAATCCGCGTTTGCAGAACAGTTGGACTGAGTGTTCTATTTAAGTCTGGAAATCTGAGTCTGGGACTCACAATGGGTGTGTAGTCTGTTCACAAGCTGGCTACCTTTATTTCTCATGGTCACCTGTTCTTCCCTCCCTACTTAAGGCACAGGATGTTCTTGCGGTCTCATAGATTTCAAAATATACCTGAACTATTAGTGTTCTAAAGTGACACCTAAGTAGGACATACTCAGAGAGGCCAGTGTCCTCTGAATAGCTGTGATGTGAGTCATGGGTCACTTACACACACTGGACACCCATGTGCTGAAGATATCTGTGAGAAGTTTTCTTTAAATACTATTATTAAAAATTCTAAACTTTTGGTATTTTGATATATAGGCAGAGATAAGAAAAGATACATAGTAGACCCTACCCAAGCTTAACAACAGCATTAAGTCCCTCTTCTCTCACACTCTATAGGCTCCTGTGATTAGGAAATAAAAGAGCGGCATTCTTGCCATGTAGATGACCCTCCACTTGGCCTACTGATACCACGGGTTAGGCTCATGAGCGCGACCACTTTGCCTAGGAGTATAGCTTCCTGTGTGCCTGTTAGAGGAGTAGAAATAGTGGGGATTGCTTGCGATCACTACATCTTTGCTGTGGTTTGTATGTAAAATGTCCTTGTTGGGTTTGCGTGTTAGAACACTAGGCCCCCAAATGGTGGCACTGTTTGGGAAGGCTGTGGAGCTTTTAGGGGGTAGCTCACTAGGGGTGAACATTGAGATTTATAGCCTGGCTCCACTCACTCCCTACTACCCCTCTGCTTCTTAAGTCCTATGTCATGTGACCAGCTAATGCTATGCCCCAGCCACCATGCTTTCCTCACCATGGTGAACTGTGGCCCTTTAAAACAGTGAGTGGGAACAATCCCGTTCTCCTGAAGTTGCTTCGGTCAGGTATTTTGCCACGGAAATGTATAAAGAAACTAACAATCCTATTAGGAAATGGGGATTTGAAGAAGAGACACTTAAGGCCACCAAACTAGGCCTAGAGCCCAAAGCTCCTATCTTGAAGTTCAAGCCAACAAAGAGGTGTTACCTTTCAGAAATGGTGCCCCCCAAACAGAGTACACTTCATCACCGTGGTCTGCTATCACCGTCTTGGGTCTCATGTCAGACACGAAACTTGGACGATACTTAAATTCATACATGTAGGTGGGGGCTCCAGCATCTGAGAAGACATGGATTCGTGTACAGTACATGTTACCAGACTCACGCAGATGATATAAACTCCTCTGCCTGTGCAGGAAGACCCCCAGATTCACAGCTGGAGGAAAACAGAACCTTAGGGGATCCTAGGGACTTGTTTGGGGCTGCTGGGGGAGAGTAACTGGGATTCGAACAAGTTTTCACTGTGAGGGAGTGAGCACAATTGAGGCAGTGTGTGTGTGTGTGTGTGTGTGTGTGTGTATGCACTTCAGTGATGACACCCCGTGCTCCTTCATCCTGAGCAGACCTGCACCTAGTAGGCATCTTCTGTCAGCCTGATTTTGAGCACCCCCAGTGTTTTTCTTGATCATCCAGAAAAGGGGGATGCAAACCCACTCTGCCTGAATATGAGGACATTTGAATGCAAGACCGTGAAGACAGCGAAGACTCTTTCTTCTAGGCTTCATGAATCCTTGAAACTTGGGATTCTTATTTGAGTCATGCTTGGTTGGGAGTGTTAAGGCCTTTGGGCATGAAGGGAAAGTGAGCTTGCCTTTCCCCTTTGCCTTCTTCTCTCACCCCCAAAGACATCATGTCTTAGCCCCATGGCAACATTGCTCCTGCTCAGTGGATCATTGTGTCAGCTAATTACTTCTACCTATGTGAGCAAGGTCTTTCCAAGGGAGACTGAAATATGAGTTGGTACACTAACGGGAAAGGTCTATTCTCAGTATGGACAGGTGTCATCAGACCTGCTCAACACTGCAGAGAAGAAAGCAGAGAGAAGGTGACATCCTCTCTCCTGGAGCTTCTCTTGTCCCTGAAATCCTGCCCAGAACTCCAGGATGTTCTCATTTGGATGGTCAGACTTACATCTGGGGTTCCCAAAAGGCTCTGAACTTCTGAACTAGACCCAAAAGCACACCATTGGTTTCGGTGGTCCCGAGGCTTTCCACCTTGTGGTGGTCACTTTGCCAGAACCCCAGAGTCTCTGTTCTGTTTTGGCCCCAGACTTCTTGGCCTTCATAATCCCACAAGTCTATTCCCCCAGTAGACCCCCCCCTCTCATCTATCTATCTGTCTTATCAGTTATCTATCTCCTTATTCAGTCTCTTGTCAGGCTTTGCCAAGCTCTCTGTGTTTGATTTAATCTCTGTATATAGCAGCATAGCTCCAGATGCGGAGCCCCGAGAAGATTCTGCTGTGCCTCATACACACCCTTGTTGACAGGCAGGTCAGCTCCAGCACCTTTGCATGGGCTCTGTCTATGGCTATGGATTACCTTGACCATGTGTGCAACAGGTCAAAGTGGCAAGGAGCTAACTCATTGAATAGCTTTCCACTGATGGCAAGGGTATTACAGTGGATATGAGTAGCTCCTTTTGCTACTTAGATGAGATAACCCTGAGGTGCGTCCTCCACATGATTCTAAGAGCCCAGTTCCATCTATCCACAGGAGACACAGACTTGGCAGTGGATCATTGACTGGCCTCCTTCAAGTATCATATCCTTACCTCCTTAGGAGTGTTTACTGAGATTAACCCCCAAATGGCGACTTGCATTTGTGTCCTGTTCTAGAGACTCATGTGAAAGAGCACAATGTTGACCACGCCCCACATCACCTCTGGGCCATATGGACTGAGTCTCTGAGTCCTGACCCTCAGCAGTTTCCACATCTGACTGTATTGGGGAGTCGGTGTCCCTCTCTTGTACGGCCCCTGGGACTCACCTCTATGATAGCGGGCCACAATCACGGATGGTACAGCAAATAACACATCTCCCATCATATCTAAAAAGAGGTTTTTATTTTCGTCGGGGCCGTTTGATCCTCCCAGATATTTCTCAATGGCCATTGGAGTCAGTTCCTTAGAGATGTTCTGAAATACATCAAGAAAGAGCCCACCCCCACCAACGAGCAATGTGATTTTCCCAGCCCATTGAGAAGACTTCAATTGACTATGACCAACTTCAATGCTATGCTAATCCTTACTCTGGGATGGGAACTCCAGATTCCAGCTATTTTACCCTACCATTTAATTCACCTGTGACTGAGGGCAAGCTCCCAGCTCTTCCTTAAATTCAACTTTTCTCCACGATTGCCCTTGTACTTACAGTAAGTGGGTAGGACTTCCATAGGAGGGATGTGGCTGTCTTCTGATCCAGTTTGCCTTCAGAGAGTGGATAGCCCATCATCTGTTAAAGAAATAGTCAGTTGGCTGTAAATTTTCGGAATTAATTGGGATAACCAAACAGGCTAATCAGTCAACCAAACTGAAGCACAATGAAGGTGTTTATAAGCCTTGGTGTTCATGGGTTTTGATGAATTAGACAATAATGGTTAGCTTGATGGACTTTTCCAGAAAGTGAATGAACTCACAAGAGAGATTAAAAGCAAGGTTAGCCGGAGATGATTGTGTGTGCATGTACATGTGTGTTCAGTGTGTGAGTGTGTGTGTAAGTGCGTTTGTGTGTGGGTGTCTGTTTATGAAGCTGGAATACACACAAAGATTCTCTATGCAGTGAGGGAAAAATTAAGAGCATGTATTTAGAAGCTAAGAACTGAGGGACAGAGGACACAAGACATCCCACCACTCATTTCATAAGTAACCATTATGACATTTGATAATCTCTGAAAACCTGTATCAAGAACTACAGAACTCTTACCATGTGTCGATGTGTGCAAACCTCTGCAGCCAGAGACAAGCTACCATCAACATGGCTGTAGAAGCATGACCTAGCCCCCTGCCATGCTTACTTGGGGAACTCAGTGCTGCCAGAAGAAAACCTGGGGCTGAGAAGATTGCCCTGATCTCTGCTAAAGCATCTACCATAGAGAGTTCACAGTTAAAAATCTTTATGATGCCCCTTGAGATATTAATGCCTCAATGAAAACAGTTTCCTCAAGGACCAGGGAGCGATTTGGGGAGATTGCTCTTGTTCTCTCTACTCATTTTTTTTTTTTGAAAGAAACATCCCTAACTTTGGTAAGCGCTCAACTTCAGTTTCCAGCTGAGTCCTTCCATGAAGAGAAGGAAGTTTCTCCTGCAGGTGGGTGCGGACTAACACTTCTCTATCTAGCTCACCTTTCCTATCACAGTGGCACTGAAACCTCTCCACTACTGGCGCCAGGGATCAGTTAACTTTGTACATGAACTTTCCCCTAGCGTGTTCGTACTATGAAATGAACCCTATCGTTCTACTTGAATGTGTATTTCTCATTGTTTATTTTTAACTCAAGAAAATCCCATTTTCCTTTGCATGTCAGTTTTCACTTACGTGAAACCAGTCTTCCCTGGTCTTGGTTAGTGTGCCCGTGGCAATCCCCGGCATGTGAGTTCACCATCAAGGTGGAAGCTGCTGCGTTCCAGCCTGACTCCTGCCCTCCAGCTCCCTCTCCTTTCTAGGCATCCCTAGTTCTCCCATCTGAACAACTGCCATCCCTTCTTGGCCTTGGGGCTAAGATCAAGAGAAATCTGGACAATTCTCATCACTTCAGATCTCTCACTCAGCTTTTCAGGGTTCTTTAGGAAAGAAAAAAAAAAGCAGAGCAGAGCTCTGAGGACTGCACTTCCCAGGGTACAGTTGGAGTTGGAGAATGTTTCCATGGAAATGTTCACTTGTGACCATGGGAACAGCTTCCTTGGATTCAGAGAAAGGTTCAGAAAAGGCAGAAGTCCTGGTGGCAGGTGATGATGGGTTCTGGGGTGAAGTCTATGAGATCACTACTTCCTCACCGTGGGAATATACCAGCCAAACTCTTGCTTGTTGATCCCCACGATGTAGGGCACGGTGTTGAAATTCTTCTCAGCCAGAATCTCTTCCGGTGCCTTTGGCAGAAGCACCCCATCAATCACAGTAGTCAGGAATGGGTAGCTCTGGAGAATGAAGTGACACGTGGTTAGTTGCTCCCCAGAACACCCATGCTCCCTTTGTCATCTGTCTGAGGGTCAAGCACATACTATCAAACTACATAAGAATGGGCAGTGGCCACAGATGCTCAAAGCCCCCTGTGAGGGGATAGAACTCTGACCTGTGGGTGTCTCTGGTAAGGTGATGGGGCAGTGGTAAGTTCTGGAATACTCGTGTATACATAATGAAGTTCTGTAGAGATGGGATCCAAGTTGAAACATGAAGTTCATTGGTGCTCTGTTTAAAGGCTTATTTTAATTTTAGTTAAGTGCATGTGTTTGTGTGGAGGCATGTGCACACGAGTGCAGGTGCCCACATAGGTCAGAAGAGGCGTTGGATCCCCTGAAGCTGGAGTTACAGGTGGTTGGGAGCCACCCAACACTGTGGCTAGGAACAGAAGTCAGGTCCTTGCAGCACTAGCAAATGCTCTTGATCTTAAGCCATCTCTTTAGCCCTCTCACTGATGTCTGATGATGTCACATACATAACATTTTGACTGTCACTTGCCATGGAAGTCCATTTGTGGATTTTTTACTCCTGGAACCCTGTCAGCACTCAGGACATTTGGGATTGTGGAGCAGAGAGCTAGTAAGAAGCAGATCACTCTGCATTGCCATGGGAAAGGCACCTCGAGGAAGGGCTTAACCTGCTCCTGACCCCGAGGAACATAACTGTAGATTTCTCTGGCTTTGTTTTCACAACCACATTGTCTACTACTTGTTTCTAATATTCTTCCTCATGTCATAAACTCACAGATTCAGCCTCTTTCTCCTTTTTTTTTTGCAGCTTTATCAGATGTTACAGGTGTCATATTGACATTTGGCAGAACAACCTAACCTACATGTCTCTTCTTGTGGATCTAATGCATTGCTGACATTGTCACCAAACTCATACCCAATAGTTCTGCAACCGAAACCTGAAGGGGGCTCACTTCACACACACACACACACACACACACACACACACACACACACACACAATTAATAATGCATATTGCAGCACTGGTGTGTTTAGTTACACCTTCTTCCGTACTCTCTAGCTTTTTAAACAAGAAATCAGTGACAGCGTCAAAGTGTGGGAAATGATGTAGCAAGCCCACCGGAGAGGAGCACTTCCTCATGAGGGAGATGGAGGAAGCAGCACATTGCTTTGCTTTAAGATGGAATTTGGGTACCACGTGCCTCAGACATTCACCACTCCCTGCCTCGCCTGTGAGCAGGCACAAAGTACTTCGAGTTTATTTTGGGCACTTAGAAACACATTTTTACAAATAGCTCAATCCATAAGCACAGAATCCACGATGAAGACAGACCAACTCCACCCATCTGTCTATATTGAAATGTTGTAGGGATAAGCCCTCCCCTTGGGGGCGGGCTGCCCTCGGGCGTATGTTTACTGATATATTGGGCGGGCAGAGGCTGCGCGCCCCTTCCCTTCCTCTCCTGTCTCCGCCGGCTACTCCGCTGGAACCTTGGTTTCGTGAGTCTGGTTTTGTTATTAAACTTGTTCAAATATCTATTATCTTTGGTGATTATTAATCCGACCGCTACAAAATGTGAGCTGTCTCCCCATGAAGACGAACCCCCCTTACCTTCAAGATGTCTTCTGCGAGACACAGAAGGCCATGACATCCATCCTACTATACTGTCAGACATTTTGATTTTATGTTTTATGCTTGATGAAAAATATTTGAAAGATTAGGTGGAGCCTGGTTTACACGTTGCCAGCTGGGAAGCTGGCTGTGGGTTTGGTTAAATGCCTGTCCTAGAGCTGTGGTATGGTGGGACCCACATGAAGTGAACAACTGAGCACAGGCAATGTTCGGCATAGCGCTTGTCCCTGGAAAGAGCTCAGTAGGCACTAGGGATCATTTTCACTGGCAGAGTTATTTTTCTCCATTGGGTCATTATGGCACAACTCTTTTGTGTCATATTTCTAGTTCCAGGTTCTGTGCACAATATTTCCCTCCTTGGAGAATAGAGGGGGCTGGAAGATGCCTAGACTGAATATCATGGTTCCAAGGACCCAGCCCCACTCTGAAAGGGATGAACGAATGACTGGTTAGGCCTCGCTGTACGTGGTTCAATAAAACAAAGCAGACCCACCCCAAAGATCCAAAATCTAAACCATGCACGTTAATGGTAACAAATAGGTTCTGGGTGCAACTATTACTGCCTTAGACGAGGTGTAGAATGCAGAGAGGCTGATGAAGGAGGTTGCAGGGGAGCAGGTGATACGAATGGCGCAGGTGCTCTTCTCCTTGGCAGTGGACTTTGGTAATGAAGAGAGCCGAACGGTGATGAAGGACTGGGGTTTCCAAACAGTGGACAGGGCACATGGACACATAGTAGAGGTATCACTATGCAGGGCTATCCCCAGAAACACCGAGAAGCTTGGGTATGGATGAGTGTGAGCCCTAGGGAGAGGGTCACAGGGCAATCACGTTTTCTGCACAGTATCTGGCAATTCACAAGTGCCCAGTACAGGCATGTTTTGATTAAAGATGTTTCCAGGGGAGGCAAGAGGACTCGTGCTATAAACAGGTCTGATTTTAAGAAAGGAGGTGGCATACTTCGGCTTGTGCTGTGGAGGGTAAATCTGATGATACCGTGACATGGGGCAGGAGGGAAAGTGGACAGAGAAAATAGAAAAGGGCCAGAAGACAGATAGCGAGGGTCCTTTTTATGTTAGCACCTTCAGAGGGGACCTCAGCAACAGTAGGAGTCAGAGGGATTGCTATGTGGATCAGCGATGCTGGTGGCTATGTCGTGATGTCCAGACTCTCTGCCAGCTTTGGTTAGAAGAGAGGGGCATTCTTCCTTCTTCTCTATCTCTTACTCTACAGCTTCCATCAGCAAATCCTGTGGATTATCCCTGCAAATATATCCCATCGCAAGTGCTTCTTGCCACCCTTCTGCTGAGGCCTTGGTATTTCTCACAATCTTTTTCTTGGTAGGCTGCAGTGAAGCCCTCCTGCATGGTCTCTGTGCCTGCCTGGTCCTTGCCTTCTGCCTGTTTCCACTTTGTCATCAGTGGATACTGGTAAAATCTGAGTCCACATCACTCTTTTCTATTCGCTCTGTTGCATGCATCAGAGCAGAAGGTTTCAGGAAGGTCCAGAGTGCTATCTGCTTCACTGCTGTATCCCAGCCGCTGAACCGCTTCTTGCCTCATAGTGCAACCTTGATAAATGACTGGAAGAATTTCAAATCATCCTACAGGACCCTTAGTGAATGGCTGGGATACCCAGGGATAGAGCATAGAACCGGACTGTAGACACTACACAGCAAATGTCACAAGACAACGGTCACTGCTAGGAGGTGGGAGTACAGGACAAGGTGGGAGGGCAAAGTTGAAGTTTCTGATGAGTCCTCTGTGAAGTCTCCTAAGATCCTTACCCAAACATCTTTGCCCCTTGCCAGTGGAAGGTTCTAGTGTACTCTCCTTTTATAGGACCATATTATGAGCAGGGAAGGTGAGTGAGAAGGGAGTTACCTGAGCCCAGTAGACTGGATTATTTATTGGGCACACTCTGTAAGAACTGTGAAGAACAGCTATTGTTTGTGATTTTCCTGGCTACCCTACTCTGGTAAGGGACTACCTCCTCTGGGCCTCTGCAGCATGCCCACAGAACAGGACTGCCATTTCACAAGGGGAACTCTTGGCTTCATAGTTAATTGAAGCTTAGTACCTATCATGGAAATGTAGGGATCCTTACCTCTCTGGGGTCTCCAAGCAAATCAAGAGCAAAGAATTTCTGTGAAGACAAAGGCAGAAGATATGGTGAGCAGGTGTCCCTCTCCAAAGACCGACCTCTAGCTACATACACTCTTGAGTTGCCAGGTTCTCTGTCCTGGTCCCTCCTCAGCTTGGCCCAGTGTGGGATGGCCTGAGCTCTACTGCACACAAGCACATGATGGTGGAGTAAGACAAACAATGCAGGATAGGCACAAACCAAGAGACAGACCCGAGAGCCAGGGTAAGGCTCCCTAGCTCTGGAGTCAGTACTGTTAGTGTGCCTTCCTTTTCTTATGTGCCACCAGGAGAATCACTGAAATATCTGTCTCTGAGCTTTAGAAGTCAATTACATTTTAAAACTAGTTTGATCATTTTTATGAGAACCTGTTGTGCCAGGAAATACAGGCAGTGCCTTAGGCTAACGGGATGTTATGGGGTCCAGTAGTATCATCCAGCATTTAGGGCCGAGAGAGAAGGAAAGCAAGAACAAGGGGTAGGGGAGTCAAAGTTTCAAGTTCCTCTGACTTTGCACTGGCATCTTCCCAATGAAGGAAATAGGTCACATAGTCCCAGATGCTATGTTTTCTGGGTGTTTGTTCCAACGAGCCTCCCTATGATGACAACATTATGGTCACCCATCTTCTGTGTCATCTTCCTTTCAAGCATCTTAGCTGGGTGTAATGAATATGTACTCTCTGTATTCTCACCCCATCTAACCCACTAAGTACCTGGATAGATGTCTGAATGAATGGGTGTTTATATTACCACTACACTGCATATTGGTGAATCTGATGAATTCATTCATAGAGGATGATAACAAGAAGGTAATTTGTAATAGATTATTGTTTTGTTGGAATGGATTGTGGGGTGTACATTAACAGTAGCTGGATGATACATAGGTATTCAAATGGTCAAGAAAGGATAAACGAAGCACTATAGATGAATTGATATTGCATTTGTGGAAGTACATCATGGTTGAATAGATGGATTTGTGACTGGATAGATGGACAATGGATGGACAGATGAATAAATGGATGAATGTATGATTACCCTAGAATCATACCACTACTGACTTACAATTGATAATTTCGTTTTTTATAATTAACTGTCTCCATTCTGGATTCCTCCTGATTAAATACTTACAGAAAGAGTAGAAAAAAGATAGAAATTAGGAAAAATATTTGCAACATTCTATTTCATAAAATTAATTAACCAACTCTTAGACAAATTGTAGCACTTCTGAGAACCTTTGTGCGTAGTATCTCCAGCCCTAAAATTTAGGATGGTTGTTACTTCTGTGAAGAGAAAAACGCTTCCACCTATAATAAGTGATTGTTTTGATAAAGCTGGGGCACTGTTAAGCATTTTTTTCAACAAGTTATTTCTAGACATTTGATTTATTTCACAATAAAAATATCTAGCTTGTATCAGAAAGTTGACACTGTCCCTGAAAGGCCCCTACATAGTTTATTTGGGACGTAAAGACCCCTGCATCTTGGCCAGCAGTGTGGGGGCCACCGGGATAGAAACACCTACCATTTTCAGTGTCGTGGCCAAGAGCTCCTCCTCCGTCTTCTCACGCAGACACTGAACTATACCGACCGATGTGGTGGCCTCACACCCTGCAGCAATGGCGACTTGCTGCAGAGACCACAGGCAACAGGAGAGTTAGATGACATCATCACTACTCTCCATGAATATAGAGAGAGGGACGACTCTATCTCAGGACTGCTGGTGTGGGATGTGGCGGCAGAAAGTGCTCTAGTCCAGCAGGTGAAGGTGCCAGACTGAGCAGTATTGCCCCTGTTACCAGCTTGGATTGTGACATGAGTCGTTTACACATTTGTGTCTCGGTGGCCATTTCTCTGATAACATGGGTATATGCTTATCTGAAAGCTGACCATTTTAAGAATGACAGTGTGCAATGGTCGCTAAAAAAAGTACAAAATCCCAAATTCTGCCTTTTGATTTCATACCCCATTGACACAAAGAATGTCAAAGCAAAGCAAAACAAAACAAAAAAACAGTCTTTCCACTGCTAAATCACAGGACAAAGCTACTCCTCTTGAGCCAAGAGGAAGTTTGTAATCTCAGTGGCAGATGTGGTACCCTTGTGGCCTGGGAGTGAGCTGACTAGAGGAGGAGGCACAAGAGGTGGCACAGGCTAGGTGTGAGATCAAAAGCAAGAGACCCTTGACTCTGTCTGTTCTCTGCTCGATCTCTCTGTTTGGCACAGCAGCCTTCCCTCACTCTCATCCAGGATTCCCCTCTGCACAGGACGTTTGCCCGTGCTGCTCCTTCTTGGGTTATCCTTTGCTCACCAGGTAAATATATCTCTTCTTTCTGATCTGTCTGCTTACCTATTGGTCACATTCTCACTAAACATTCCTTTTGGATTCACGTGGTTTCATCAGATTTGGTTATTCTCTTTCCTTTAGGCATCTTCTCATTGATGAAATAGTGCCATTTGCTTGATTACACAATTTAAAAAAAACCAATCTTCTTTTTAAGAATGGATGCTTTCTTGGTTACAAAGCACATAGGTATATCCACTATATATATGAATGAATGAACCAATGCACAAATGTGCTGGGAACCAGCCCTGGCTACCAGGGCTTCAGGGAGGAATCATCCCAAGTCCATTACTGCTTGCAGAGCACTGGAACCCAGACTCTGACAGAGATGTACTATAATTACAGGCCACCAGTCACCGTCCAGTGTAGCACTCTGCCTTGTTACACTGGAACCAGTGCGCTCAGGGGACATTGCACTGAGCTGAAGGCCATTGTCTGGAGCTTGAGTCTCAGCGGCCCCGATTACTCAGTTCTTGGAGAGCTTAGACTGGGCTACCCAGGTGACCTACCTCAGCCCCACGTCTGGTATTCTCCCTGAACAGACATGGAGTGAGGGCCACACCACTCTCAGAAATGGCCCTGTGGAAGAGGTTCTTGGTCAGGGGAGACAACACCTGGAAAGGAAGAGGAGGAGAATTAGTACTCAAGGGAGATGGTTAATAACTTGCTCATCTTGTAAGGTTCCCTCCACTTGCACCCCTTGCCTGGAGACTTTGGTTCTCACTGCAGGTTACAGCTCCTTACTTGTCTCTGATCGCTTCCCAGCTTTCCTCCGAGCTAGGGACAGAGGAGGGAGTATGCGGCATGCGCCTACTATGATAGTCAAAAACACCGGAAGGAAAGGCTTTGCTGTTCCTAGCTACAAATTCTGTTTCAGGGTCTCTATTACTCAGAAAATATCCTGGAGAAAATGATCATGAGCATCCATAGAGAACTTTAAAGATATTCCTTGATGAGGATACTTATCTGTGGCTATAAGGACAGATATTTAGAATGTAGTTAGGGGAACATGCTGGTATAGTAAAGTGGTAGCTGTGGATTTTCTTTCAAGATCACTAGCCCTGGGTAGTTGGCTAGGTTTCCAGTACCAGGCATGATTTCCCTTTTGTTAAGAAGGTCTTAACAGGGCAGCAGAGGCACAGGTCCTTAATTCCAGCACTCGGAAGGAAGGCAGAAGCAAACCCATCTCTAAGTTCAAGGCCAGCCTGGTCTACTGAGTGAGTTCCAAGACAATAAGAGTTACACAGAGAAACTCTATCTTGCAATAACAAACCAACCAACCAAGTTATTAAGTACAAACAGAGAGCCGAAACTTCTCTTTTCAACAACAGATAGAGACCACTGCAGAAAACTACAGGCAATCAAAATGCAGGCATGTGGAGCCCAGGCGATATATCTACAAAACAACTCTGGTATTTAAAACTAGGGACCAGTGCCTAGAAGGGGTGGAAAGATTGTAAGATTGGGGGGTTTGCTGTGAGACTGCATCTTCTAGCAAAGTCAGAAACAACTCCTGTAATGTCTCGTCCTAAACACGAGCTGAACAAGGACAACAATAGAGATGCCAAAATGGATGGGAAAAGCCTATGAGGGCTCAACCCTACACATCTGTTTATTGATATGTAACACCTGCCCCCATGTCAGGGGCGTGGCAAAGCTAAAATAATTAGGAAGAGGAGAGAGAACACAAGCAAGATGACTAGGAACACCATGGTCACAGGCTCAGCCGGACGTTCTTTTGGCTTCAGAACACAAAACTGAGCTCTGAGCTTCTTGGGAGCTCCTGGTATTTATTTCTACACTGACTGCTTCTGAGCCAGGAGTTAGGGTCAGTCTCAATGCAGGTCTTGCCGGCCAAAGTGCCTGTGGCTGGGTCGAATGGTCTTCAAGGAGACCCATTAGCACCCACATCAACCCTGGACATGAGGCTTGGTGCCAGGAATACTTACAAGGACAGAGACACTCTCTCCTCCTGATGACTCGCCAAAGAGGGTCACAGAGCCTGGGTCCCCCCCGAAGTTAGCAATGTTGTCCTGGACCCACCGTAGGGCAGCTACTTGGTCGAAGTGACCCCAGTTCCCTCTGCTGTGTTCATCTCCTGTGCTGGAAGAGAAAGGTGAGAGTAGGAGTCAGAGATGCCATAGCTGGGCTATGATGGGTCGAGAGCCATGGCTACGGGAGGATCATCCCTCGATGTTTTGTATGCTCAAGGTTTGGTCTTCCGTGGGGCAGCATTGGGAGGTGGTCCAGCCTTTAAGAGGGGGAGTCCATTGTTAGGTGACTGGTCTATTGAGGACACTTGGATGAATGTAGTTCTGGCAGCATTCTAGTTGGTTCTTATGAAAAGGTTATAGACAATCACGCCTGCACCTACTTGCTCTCTGATTTCCCGATAACCCCTTTGCCACAATACCCGCTGCCCTAATATGACACTGCCCAGATGTCTTTGTCACAGCTGATACCATGCTGCTTGAACTTTGAACATTTGAAGCTGTGTGATAAACTCCATTTAAAAATTTACATTTATTTTATTCTTAATTGTGTGTGTAGGTACATGTGTGTGCATGTATATGTGTGTGCACACACATACATGTCTCTGCTTGTGAGGATGCTAGTGTCTGCAAGAAGTCAGAAGCATGCAATTTCCCTGGAGCTAGAGTCATAGGCAACTGTCAGCTTCCCAATGTGAGGGCTAAGAATTGAACTTGGGTCCTCTGCAAGCTCAGTACTCACTCTTAATCACTGAGCCATCTCTGCAGCCCAACCCTAGCTTTTACAAAAGAGTAAGCTTCAGGTATTTCTTATACCTGTGGAAAGCAGCCTGATGCAGACATTTGGGACCAAAGAGCTGGTCTGCTGATATCACTGTACCAGGAAAGGTGAAAGCGACTTTGGGAAGAGTCTAAAGGGTTCGCAGGAGCAGGCTGGTCAGCCTGAAGTGTGGGATGTGGAGTGCTATAGATGACTCAGTGACGAACTCTGAAAAAGAACACTCTGTGCATCTTTGCAGAGAAGGGGGGAAAGCCATGCGCATGCCCTAAAGCTTTACGTAAGAATGATGGAGGACTTGACATGGTAGAAACAATTTCTACATAGCAAAGCCTTCAGGACACAGTGTGGGCATTATTGGCTGATGGTAGTGAGATTTTCAGTGACGCTGAAGGTCAAGGGGAAACAGACTAGAAATATGTTGGAAATTATCCTGTGGTTAGAGAAGGATCAGAGAGAAAGCAATTAGGGATAGACTCAAGAAATCACTCGCTAAAGAGATGAGCAGGAGGTTGATAATAGGTTAGCTGGAAAAAGGCTTTGGAGCCATCCGTCATAGACACACAGGCCTTCCAAGACATGATGAATTCAGAAAAAAAAACTCAAGACCTCTCCTTGAACTTCCACCCAAAGCTGTCTCAAAGTTTTACTCCCAGCTGGCAGAATCTCCAGCCATAAGAACTATAAACACACTCGTTAGGAAGGTGGGAGTCCTCTGTGGATGCGTGTTTTATACAAGCACTTGGGCCCCATGTGGAGTAACCACTGTGTGAAAGAAGCAGAAAGGAAACTAAATGATCACTACAGTAACTTAGGCCAGAGACGCAGGGCTTTGATTTTGGTTGAAGTTAGGAATCAATGAATACCTGAGTTATGAACGTATTTAGAGGGTAGAGCTAGGAAGTTTTACTGGCCATGTAGCTATAGGGTATGAAATAAAATTGAGTCTGGACTTTATTATGGACAATCAAAAGTATAAAACTGAATACAGCTTCACAGGGGGCCTTATGTAAACAGGAAGCTAAATGTTGTAGTCCCTGAGTTGTCAAGGGCTCACACTGGCTCTGTGAAGTAAGGCAGTCCTGGTTAGACATCCAGGGAAACAGGAGGACATAGTTAAAGATGCTATCTTGGCTTCAAAGAAGAGGTGGGTATCTTGGTTATTGTTCTGTTGCTGTGGAGAGATGCTATGATCAAGGCAACTTATAAAAGAAAAATATAATTGGGGGCTTGCTTACAGTTTCAGAGGACCAGTTGCTATCATAGTGGGAAGCAGGACAGCAGGCAGATAGTCATGGCACTGAAGCAGTAACTTATACCATATTAACAAGCAGAAGACACACACACACACACACACACACACACGGAGGGAGAGAGAGAGGGAGAGAGAGAGAGAGAGAGAGAGAGAGAGAGAGAGAGAGAGAGAGATTGATTCATGAGCTTTTGAAACCTTAAAGATCACCCCCAGTGACACACCTCCTTCAACGAGACCACACCTCCTAATCCTCCCCAAAAAAGTTCCACTAACTGGGGACCAAGCATTTAAATGTATGAGCCTATGAGAGCCATTTCTCACTCCAACCACCATTGTGGGGAATTCTGGGAATTACTGGACAGGAAAAAGGGAGGCATACAGAGGCCTGAGGATGGGGAGGGAAGGAGCAAAAAAGGACTCTGAACATGAGCAACCAAGGAAGTGGAAGGCAGCAGGGAGGTGGAGGGTGGCCAAGGACGTGGAAGGTGGCCAGGGAGGTGGAGGGTGGCCAAGGAGGTAGAAGAAAGAAGCAGCTCAGAAGCCCAGAAGCACAGGTGCTCACTTGGCTGCTGCTGCTGGCTCAGAAAGTTGTACTGGGGAGAGGAGGGGGACATTGTGGCTTCAATACTCACAGCCTGCCAGGCATGGGTGGAGGAGAGAAAGGGAGAGAGAAGGTGGAGGGACCACTTGTGGCAGGCTGAATGAAACAGAAAGTAGAGAAACAGAACCTAGGCAAAGAGACCTGGTACCTTAAAGGATGATGTCTTCGTTCCTGAGGCAGAAGCCTAGAGCAACCAGCGGAGAGGCAGACCAGAACCATCTTCCAGCTCCTCAGTCTCCTCAGCGGTGGCTGTGGTTCAGCTAGACTACTTAGCAACCATCTCAGGTTTGCATGGAATATGCAGAAAAGGATCCTAGAGCAGGAAACCTGATCCTGATCTCACAGTTGATGGAGACTAACCTGGACTCCTGCATGTGCCAGCCGCTAAGGAGGAAGTGAGCGGTGTGTCCTCTACCACCCTCCAGGGCATACTGCTCCCTGGGTCAGATCCTCTGACAGCTTCCACCCCCCACCCCACCCCCCCGACACTCTTTCCTTAACAAACAAGTGTTCTCTGAACTCCTTTGTGCCTCCTGTCCTAGAAGGAGACTTGCAACATTGAACTTCTTAGAGACTGCTGTAGGCAATGCTGTGTGCTTGGCCGCACAGGTGAAAGGAGACACGTGATTTGGAACTAAATGAGAGTTAGCTTTGGAAGATGGGTGAGTTTAGAACAGGCCGTCCAGGCAGAGGTAACAGTATACACAAAAACCCAGAGCAAAGGCAAAAAGTGTGGTGAGGAAAGAGAAGACAGGAGAGAGTCCAACCTCAAGAAACACAAACGCTTTAAGGAATGCAGATGAATGACCAGGCATGGGTCCCATTGTCCTGATTGGTGTTCATGTAATGGGAAAAAGGTCTAATGTCTTACCTGAAGAATCCCAAGATGCCCAGGCGGTATTGAATGGCTACCACCACCACTTTTTCATGGGTAGACAGGGCCAGTCCATCAAAAGTGGATGCCCCACCAGACAGTAAACCGCCTCCATGGACCCATACCATCACCTGGACAGGCATCAAAAAACCATTCAGGTTATAAGAAGTAGAGAAGTAACGACATTGGATGACCTAACTAATTCTTGCTTGTGACTAAGGAAGCCATTATCCAAGACCACGAGTGTCTATCATGGCCCAAGTCTCTCAGCCAGGTCCCAGACCACAATTTCACTCAATGCAGTCTAGTTATTCATTGTGTTACCCTTCTCTCCAGTCTCAAGGACCATGTAATTTACCAGTTCTTCCAAACAAGAATGTTGTTATGGGAACAGCAAAAGTCAAGGATGTCATTTTCTCCCCAGGACACCACCCATCTCACACCTGGACATAGCAAAGGACACAGCTTGCATTTTGACTGTACCTCAGTTTACTGGTGAGCTAACTTTCCCTGTGACTGAAGAAGTATCTCAAGAAGCACACATGTCCCCAGTGGTGCCCCTCCCTGAGGTATCTCCCCTTAGCCTTCCTCAGACCTTCCCATCTTCTAAGCCCATCTATCCTTCCAGGAAGTCTTTAGATACTGACTTTATCTGAAAGACCACTGCCCATTTGGTACTGCCGTATGAATTAAAGCTCATGAGAAAAGGGGGTAGGTACAATGTCTGATTAATGGCTCTGGACGTCACATTTCAAGGAAGAACTGAAAAGAATAAAATTCTATAACATTGCTAATAAAATATAAAAGAACCCACAAACTGTGAACTAATTACTGTTCAGGGTACTTTAAAATACCCTATCCATGTAACAGGCAGACAACTTGCTTGAAGTTCCACAGCTCATGAGAGGTGGAGGCAAGACTTGACTCGAGCCCTGACTCTTGTAGCTCCTGTCTCTTGTAGCCCACGGCTGCAGTTCAGTGAGGTAGCTGTTGGGGCTACGAGGGCAAAGGGCAGATGCTTTGACTGCCTTGTGTATCCAGGACTGAAGCATGGCTTGAATGTCAACACTGCATGCTCACACATGGAATGGTGCCCATGAGAAGAAACAGAGGTCAAAACAGTTAGAAATAGCCCGGGTCTCTCATCGTCTCAAAGGCACACCCGGGATTAATCCTGACTCTGTTCTCTGGGACCTGTGTCCATAGTTGGAACATGTCCTGCCTTTAGACTCCCACAGCCCATTTCTCCTCCTCCTGGGCCCCTACCACCTCGAGGGAAGCACTGAGGAATGGTCATCTCAGAGGGAAGGCTGAGTGCAGAGGCAGGTGGGCTGTGACAAAAGGAAGAAGCTACTATGAAGTCTTTGGCCCGAAAGGTCACTTTCTCCAAGAAGACCTCTGTCCTGTGCCTTGTAACTAGCAGCCTGTCCCATCTCTGCTCTGGGCCTTTGTTTATATGAAAACGCTGACTCACTGGGTCAGTGGTCCTTGCCAAAGGCAGCTAAGGAGAGAAACAGATTAAAGTGACATCCCAGATGTTTGGCAAAGGGGAAAGTTGGGGGGACTGCTCCAGTCTGCATCCCACACACCTTCGTCATGGGACCATGAGAGTTTTCACAGATGGATCTTGGTGTACTTGGAAGGTCACACACTTGTTCGATTTCCAAGTCCATGTTAAAAGATGTGGTTTGAAGGTTGGGGGACCCAAGTTCTCGGTCCATTAACCCTAATTTATAGTTTCCCTCCATCTTTGTTTTAGTTGCTCTCTATATAAAATTGGGACTAGGTGAGTGCTGGGTTGTGGATCCTTTCCACTTCTGACTTTAATGGAAATTATGTCTTAATTCCTCAGAGATCAGATTCTTAAACAGAAATGAAGACAAACATCATTGCTTTCCTAATCTTAACGTGAGAAAACACAGACGAATTGGGAGGTACTTACGGATACACTGTGGTCTCCCAAGTATGCCTAGTATCACTGGGGAAAACTGAAGTACCTGAATAATTTTCCTGCAGTCAAGGGAAGTCAGAGGTCTGGCTAACAATACCTGTACTTCAAGCATCCTTCACCCCCTCTAAACTGCCTTAGAAAATCCGGGATGCTGAAGCCCCTGGGTGCCGACTTCCATGGAGTGCTTACCGGCAGCTTGCCTTTGTTGGTCAAGTCAGCAGGGGAGTAAATATTTAAGTAAAGGCAGTCTTCAGAATACTCAAGAGCAACATCTTCTAGTTGGTTGGCGAAGACGTCAGAGAGCACTGGTCCCACCCCTGTAATTTGGGAGCACCTGAGAAGGGGAGAAAGAGCTTTGAGATTCAAACAGACAAAGTCCAGGGAGGGCTTTCTACTAGGTGGTTTAAACTCACAAATTGAATTGTTATCACCAGACTTGAGACAATGACATGGATGGGAAGCTATCTGGGAGTCCTGGCAAGAATCCTGGAACCCCACAAAGACCATGCAGAAGCACGGGCACTCATTACAGTCACACAGCAGATCCAAGGGGGACCTAGCATCAACTCTAGGCCTTATTTTTGTAATGAAATAATCATCATGTCTGTACAGGTCACTGCAGGGGAATGGGTACCCATAAGATCCAATGAGTCAGAATTTCCAGCATCTGCCTCACACAGGTACTGAGGTGGCCCAGTCTCACTTCCAGCTGTTCTTACTGCAAGAGGCCTCTGCCTCCTCCATGTAGCAAAGTTATGGTTGATAGCCTTGCCTGGCCACTGGGATGTATGTTCAGGCTTGAATCCCTGGGGAGGCAAGGTCGTGCAGTCCTGGAATTTTCCTCATGTATGCTCTGTTGCCATCTATCTCATCTGGAGAGCCTAGGGACCTACAGCAAGCCTAGATCAGCGTGCCCTGCACTGCTGAGATGGATACAGCTGTCATTGGCTTACGAACACAGCATCCACCCTACTTTTGGAGAGTTCAGGTACAAAACCAGCTGCAGAGACTGGTAGACACTTGGGCCTTCAATGTGTAGATATTGTACAGTGACCACCACGAGCATTCAGAGCAACATAACCTCAAGAAATATACAAAATAGAGCACCTGAGACAGTCCCCACAATGACAGGGACGCGGGATCTCTCAGAACTCTGACTCCAAACAGTGTTTCTCTGTTTGTTTTAAGGAAGAACAGTAGACTTTAAGGAAACATAAAGACATGATTCATAAGTTCATCATAAAAGTTTTATTTGGGAAGAAGTTGTCTATAGAGAAATATTTCTAATTGCTTGTTGTAGCAGATACAGTTTTTACTGTATGATAGAAATTTAATATTGAGACTAAATGTTAAAAAAAAATCCAACGGGGATGCTGAAGCTGAAAACTACAATGAATGAGGTGAAAAACGGACCAACAACAAAGGCAGCAGACGGCAGAGCTGTGGTTAAAGATTGACCTTTTCATGCTTCTGTTCCGTCATTTTTATAGCACTAAAGGCTTTTGAATTTTCCAAGCAAACAGTTTACCTCTGAGCTATAACCACCGCCCTCTCACAGTGAGAAAAGAATGCGGATGAAGGAAGAAAACTCATGAGACCCATTAGGAGCTTCAAAAGAGCAAGCATAGAGGTTGTTAGACACAACGGACAAAGACCAAGAGCAGGGGCACTTATTCACAAAGGATAACAGAGACGGTTTCAGCCTGGAGGGAGCGGCTAAGATTCAAAGGTCACGAGTTCAATCAAACCCAATAAAATCACCCATGACATATTATAAACAAACTCAACAATCCAAGGTAAATGAAAACAAACAGTAAGAAAAAGCAAACAGCACACAGAGGAGTTCTCAGATGCCTGGACAAACAAAAGGGAAGGACCTTATTGCTGCCAGCTCTGCCTCACATGAACTGCTAGAGTTTCCCAGATAGAAGCCACGTAGCAGTGAGTGTAACCTTTGCTCGCGGGAGACACAGAAACAATTCCAACCGTGTTAGCACTATCATCACGATAAGTATCCGCACCTGCCTTTAAACTGACCAAACTATTTTATTTAGTAAAAATCATATCTACTGAATTTGGTGATAATATGCAAGATGGAAATGTAACATCAAAAACTCAAAATGTCAGGAAAGAGTTGAAATTTAAAGTGTGAGTTGTCCTCGTTGTCAAGAGGCAGGGTCTTCTCAGGTTAATACTGTAAGCGCGGGGGTTTGCTGCTAACTATGCAGCCACTACAAAGCCAAAGCTTATCTTGGGGGCAATGAAAAAAAAAAAGCCAAAGGATCAAGGGATACCCCTTGAGAACACCATCGGACTATAAAGGAAGACAGTGGGGCTGGAGAGATGGCTCAGCCGTTAAAGGCTAGGCTCACAACCTAAATAAAGGAAGACAGCGAGAGGGAGGACAGAGAAGGGATGTGTAAAAGCTAGGCGCCTTACCTGAGAGGCCGCCTGGGCTTTCAGGCCTTCTGGGCTCAGCTGCAACGCTCCCAGCATCTTACCCCCAACACTAGCAGCTTCATCCACAAAAAGTTCAAGACAGGAGAGGTACAATAGGTGCCTTGTCTTCCTATCAGCAATTTTATCTAACGAGTGAATCGCTAACCATTATAGAACACCACACAATCCATTGTCTTGCTTTGCAATTATTCTATGTGTGTGTGTGTGTGTTTGTATGTATGTGTGTCTGCCTCTTTCTCTGTCTCTGTCTCTCTCTGTTTCTGTCTCTCCCAGAATAAAACTCTATGAAGGTAGGGGATCTTTATTGTGTTCACTGATACATTATCAGAACCTAGAATATGTCTGGAATATAACAGTTGCTCAACAGAAACATTTTGATCAAAGATTCTAGAGCACTCTAACAGGTGTGGAATGTCTTTGAGATCTTACAATATGTTAAGAATACATAAACAAAGTGCAATCAGTCAGAGAGCCCTCTCAACTCTTTCCTACAGCTCTCTGAGGCAGATACCCTATTGAAAGAGACCCAGGCCCTCCCCAGTGACTTACATAGGAGGGTAGGAGGTGGCATTCTTCACAAAGTTCCAGGGCTCTGCAGGCTGTGGTGGAGCAAACCTCAGAGATCCAAGAGGAGGCTTGGCAAAGGGAACTCCCAGGAAGACAGCCACAGGCTGTGTGAATCCTTCTAAGGTGACATACTTCCCCAGGACTTTGCCATGAACAGTGTCCACCACGGGTGGTGATGACAGGTGCTCTGTGACCGTAGAATAGAAATAAAAATGTACCAAAAGGGATATCTTGTTTTTTTGCTTTTAGGTATGTGGCCATGAATAAGCTACCATAGCTATGTAGGAATCAAGCGTTTCTAATATAAAATTAGGGGGCGAAAAGCTTCCCAGTTCAGTGGGATGCCAGAAGGGGTAAACCCGAACTGAAAGCAGAAAAGCATCCATCCCATGGAGGTCAGGAGATAGCTCAGTCAGTGAAATGTCTGATGTTGATGTTGGATGCTGGGTGAGATGAATGCGAGGTGAGCCCTTGTTACTTACTGCTTATGCTCCTAACCACTGAACGGACCAAGAAAGGAACAAGTGTCAGTAAGAGAGTGAGGCAGAGGGATTGTGAGACAGGAGGAGGAAGAGAAGCAGAGGTAGAGGAGTTGGCACCATTCTTTGGAGCTTGTGGGCTGCCCTCACCTCAGCTCTGAGGGATTAAGTCAGATAGTGGTAGGTTACAAGAACTTGGTACTGGAGATGGCTGTGGTACAGGCTCTGGATTCGTTGGACCCTGTGAGTGCCAGCATCTCTAGATCTGCCAGGCTTTGTGTTTTAAAGCCTTAAATACAGAAAGCAGAACCCATGTTTATTGCAGGACAACTCACAACTTCAGTATATGTTTGTTCCATTTGAGGGGTTGAAAAGTAAGACTCATAGGACATGTGGTACCCCAGCAACAGGGCCAAATTGTGCACTATTTATTTCTGAATCAAAAGCTAGTGCTTGGCCCATCAAAGCACATCTAGATTTTTGTCTCCTTTCTGGCTCAGAGACACTGTGGCAGATCTGAAACTGAACGTAAGACAGAATAAGAACAAACAAATCTGGAATAGAGCAGTCTCTTGGTGCTGGAAGAAAACCAGAAAACTCTGGAAACCTCACCCCAATTCCATCTTCAGGAAAACCGTTCGGGATTCTTCCAGTCCCTCGGTTTCCTCGTCAGTAGCATGGTGATATTAGAGCCCGCTTAGCAAGGCTTCTCTGGGAAGTAACGCCAAGCGATGAGGGCACAGCTGGCACACAGCAAATGCTCTGTATGTTTATCTCCATCTGACATGAGTTGGAACCTTTGAACTCCTTTTTATATCTCCCATCCCAATTGTTCATCTTCCACCCTGGCTACTGGCTTCTACCCTCTTCATGTTCAGAAGAGCATCATTGAGCTAACAGAGGCCACAGTTAGTGGTTTTGGCTCAGGTGTTGCCTCTTTCAACCCCTCTTGTACTTCCCCCTGGACTTCTACGCTGCTTCTCCCTTCCTTCTGCCACCACTTTGGTAGGTGTTTTCAGTTGAGACTGTTTTCATGTTTTGGATTGGGCACTTGTTACTACTTTGGAACCTGGTTTCCTATAAAGACCTTCTTGGGCCATTGGCTATGCATTGGTAAGACCAATTTTGAATTATTATTTTATTCTGACCACACACTTGAGTGGAGATGTTGATGTATTGTCTGTATTCAATGGGGGCCACTGAAGGATGGGAAAGCAGAATCATGTCATGTTCTGGGAAGGCTGCTCTGAGATATTGGTCCCACCCAGGAGCCGTATAGGACAACATATGATCCATGGCTGTCATCAAGAGTAGCAATCAGGACAGAGGGTCATGCTGGCTTTTTATAGTGCCGCACCAAGTGGCACCAAGACAGGGATGGAGCTGTGGGAGTTGGGGGAATGATTGTTTTCTCCACAAGAATGGAGCCCACAGGATAGACAGCCGCCTGGTTAGGTGACTGTGTTGAGAATTACCAGGAAAATATTCTTGACTCCAGAATGGTCCCTGCTGTTTACTTGTCTACTAAGCAAACCTTAGTCCCTTAGCTAGGGATTTGCTATCCTTCCCATCATGCACCTGTGTATTTCAGGACTTCCCTCCCCTTCCCAAGGACTCCACTTAGCAGCATTTGTAGACCGTTTTTCCTTCCCGGACAGGACGTGTATTTTGGCATCCGAGTCTCTCAAGACTCCACTCTTTCACTTATGTAACTCCTTTCCACCTTCCCTTAGTTACAAATCTCCCTACTACAAGTCCCAGCTTCCCATGGTGATCTGAAGGCCTCACTTCCTCCTACAATTCCTTGTAGCTCCTTCCTGTTCCCTCTCCCACCTAGGTGTGTCTATGGTCCTTCCCCTACAAGGTCAGGCCCCTGCGCCTAAGGGCTACCTCTGTTCAACCTCTTACCTAGCACACAGCTAAGCCAACACCTCTTGCAAATTGAAGAACAAATTATCTTTTCTGTAGCCATTGGCTCTTAACATGTTGACTTGACCTTATTTCAAGCTTTTATTAATATACCCCATCTAAATCATCACCTATTTAAATCCATACTTTTTTGGTGCTTCTAGCCTAGACATCATGCTAAAAACATGCAAGAAACAACTACCTATTTCATCTCCACCACAGTCCAGGGAGGAAGGTACTACTGATTTTTCATAGTCCAGATTCAGGACCCAGGCACCGCATAGTTCTAGTCAAAAGACACAGAGTTGAGCTAGACTCTATCAAGTCCTGCACTCTGAGCACTGCTCTGTCCAATGTTGTTAAAACTCTGTTGAGTTTTCTACCTCCACATCTGACCAGGGCTGGAGTAAGACAACTTGGGGCTCCCTTAACTCCTCATGTTGAGGCAGGGAAGTTGCTTGTGGGCTTCCTGGCACTGCAGTTGGGGTATCACGGTGTTTTTCCATCCTGCATCTCTGTGATGGGCAGAGCTTGCTGAGCTTTGATGCTCTGAGCCCATGTCAAAGTGCAGCTGGTGAGCGCTGGTGAGCAGAACAGAAGCTGTCATGCATCCTCTGATACCGATCTCCACCTACCTCAGCCTAGGCCCAGGAGCTTCAAATGCGCCCCCAGGGTCTGTATATTAGAACAACTCACCAAAAGCCATGCAGGGGTTGAGGGATGTCAGGACCAGAGCAAAGAGCCATATGGTGGAAGGCCAGCTGCCCTGGGGCCCTGTGAGGTGGTCTCGAAGCTCTTCCGGTAGACTATGCATATCCCTCTCAGATGGGGAGGTCTTGTGACCTCAGTTATTCATGCGCAGTCCAGTTGTCTAATCGTGAGATGAAAGGTCCTCTAACTGTTCCACAGAGTTCCCAGGGGTCCGAGTTCAAGCTCTTATAATTGGTTCCAGACTCAACTATCAGATTACGGATGATCTCAAACTGGTCCATCAACTTCTTACATAAAGTCTCTCTCTGTGGTTCTCTGACATCATCTACCTCTAGGTCCTCAAAGGTGGGTTCACCAAATGGCACCTTCAGGCCGGGCTCAGCTTTGGCCTGAGACCCCCAGAAGGCTGGGAATTTTAGAGGAACTGACAGCTCCCGACCTGCTGTCCTGGGAGTGTTGAACAAGTCTGAAATGTCCCTGGGCTAGTGGGACAAAGAATTCTGTGTTCTCAAGTGTGCAAGTGAAGCTAAACTTCACACAGTTCTCCTTTTGATGCCTAAATTATTTTTCATGTGTTGGGAGCTGTGAACCCCCAGATCCTGAATTTCTTGTAAACAACTTGTTTTTCCCTGATCTGAGTGCCTACAGATGCTCTGAGCACAAGACCCTCAGGAGTTCCTGATGGCAGGGGAATGGTTTCTGGTGTGTTTGGCTGGGGCGTGGCTATCTCTATATAAGCTGCCCCTGGACATAATAAAGGGTGCATTCTTGGGGCATTCCTGTTTCAAGGATGACCCGTGTCTCTCTCTGTCTGTGAGTCTTTGTGTGTTTCAAGCTCCAGCCCCTTGCCTGGCTCACGAACTGTAAGGTAGCACATAGAGTAAAAACGGGCGTGGTGCACCGCAGTCATGTCCCTGCCAAGTGGTTTGGCCTGGTGACATTGACTTCTATAATCAGAAAGAGTAACACTACTCTTTAGCATGTTTAGGAAGAATGTTCATATTTCAAAAAATAAAAAACAACTCCATATCTTCTGTAATCTGAAAAACTTCTTCTTAGGATGTAGGCTGTCTACACCTTTCCCTACTTCCACACGTTCCAGAGAAGACAGCAACACATTTGGTATTGGTCTCTAGTTTTTGTTTTGTTTTGAGACTGGATCTCTGTAAGGGACTTGAACTCCTTCCCTAACTGACAATGGTCTTAAACTTTGGATTCTCTTGCCTCCAGTGCTGATAGCACAGGTGTGTGACACCACACCCAAAGATTAGTTCTGTCTTATCTATGTATTTAGGCTTTTGTTCTCCTCCAGGTCTGCACCTTCTCAGCTAGAGTGTCAGCCTCCTGGAACCTCCTAGAGAAGAGTGTTCCTTTCTGCCTTTTTTGCCCTCTGCTGGACAATGGGAAATACTCAGGCCAATGAGAGTTTGTGGGTCAGGGGGAGCTTTCTGAGAAGAATATTTTGCAGTGATGGAAAATAAAAGTCATTGCTTGATGAAGTGAGGAGGCTCTTTAGGGGTCCTGTGTCTGCAGGATTTAGGAGTGATTGAAGGAGGGCTGGCCTTGGACATACCCCATCTCTTGAAAACCTGAATGCCTGAAGTCGCACTGAAAAATGAAAGTACCACTTCCAAAGTTGTTCATTACAGAGCATCTTCAATGCCAAGGACATTAAAGCAGCAACGTGGACAGCTTCAAGAAACTTAGGCAATATGTATACTATTCAGTTCAGCGAGTGATCTTCTATAAGATGTTTGTGTCATATCCAGTCCTGTGTAATGGGGATGTTCTATAGGGAACTCACCAAGGCCAACTGGCCTGGGTCTGAAAAAGCATGGGATAAAACAAGTCTCGCTGAACATAGCGGACAATGAGGACTACTGAGAACTCAAGAACAATGGCAATGGGTTTTTGATCCTACTGCACGTACTGGCTTTGTGGGAGCCTAGG